GCCTTAAAAACGTGCCGGGTGGGTAGCCGGGCCCACTCGCGATTTCCACTACTGGTTTGAGTGAACTGGTCCGAATGAGCTGAATACCACCTTTGCCTGGGATGCTACAACCATCATAAATACATGTCAGTTGTCAAGCATCCAAAATTTGATCACGTATCCATGGGGATGCTGCAATGGCCGTAAGAGTGAGGATCACTTGTAAATCACTTTTCTAGCACTGTCGTAACTTCAGTCCTTAAACAAATGGTTGTAAGTCAAGGACTGACAGTATTTCTCACTAATGGATTCAGCAACTAATTGTATTTCATTCAATAATGGAAGTCCATAATTTATGGTTTAGTATTTTCTTTTATATTCATTCTCAAAGCACATTTTCATTTTAGAAAAAGGTTACTATTTTGCAGACGACTGCTCATGTCGTTGAATGCTACACATGTAGAAATAGAAATCATTATCTCATCATTACAAATAAATGAATCTCTTAGGCTGAAAATTGCCATGATGTTTACTTCCCATCCCCATGAAGCACTATTTTTGGTGGCTCCCCTTAAATTCAGAGAAATTGCAGTGTACATAAGATCAAAATGGAATCAAAGATTCCTATATATTTGCTTCATACTGAAATAAATGTAATTTTGTTTGGAGTTGCGAGAAGAATCTGGAGCGCTGTCCTCCTAGGATAACAAAAGAAAGCATATACCAAACTTCACTCTAAAGAACAAAACCATCAAACAACCTTCGGAGCCTGAAAATCTCATAACAATGGGATCTGCACAGTGGACTACTGCCTGGGGAGGAGAACTCAAGAAATGTGTCTATTGTATAAAGATGAAAGGTTATTATATTGAAGATCTGACCTACTTTCTTTGCTAAAGGACAACACTGTCTTCTGTTTTCTTCGTTCTTTTCATTGAGGCAAAGAAAAAGAGGAAATCTAAGATTGCTGAATAAATATTTGAAAGAAAAACTGGGCCAGAGGGCATACATTCTGCCTTCCTGTAATCCTATACAAAGTTACTGGGGGAAAAAGAAGTTGGGATGAAGAAGCTTATTCTAGCAATGCAAATTGGCAGCATAAGCCTCTGGGCCTGATCATGCTACCAGGACAGTTAGGAATAGATCTATATTACTAATCAGGTACAAATTGGCACTAGATGTCTCTAGTTACATACAGAATGATGTGTCAACCTCCATATATGTTCAGGGAATCCCAAAATTGGAACATTATTTCAAGTTCAAAATAACATTTTTACTTCTTTTTAAAATTATCTTTCATTTCTCTTTTACCAACTAAATAAATTACAAGATGTCTGTCCATCCCTGAAGGTAGTATTAGATGTTTTCATACACTATCCGCAAACCATCACCATATCACCAGCTATTCATTCCTCTTGTAGAGTTGTCTTTTCTCACCCAATTTCTTGCCTCATTAGAAAATTATAATCTGGGTTCAAAAGAGTGAGTGCTTTTTTTTTTTGGTCTATGCCTGGACTCACTGAAATCCTTTCTTAGCTTAATTGATAGCTACTAGGATGAATTAGACGTCAAGAATCTCTCTTTCCCTCCCTCCCCCCTTCCTCCCTTTCTCTCTTTCGTCTCTAAATTTTTAATATCATTAACTATCTACTATCTAACCATATTGATCAACCATTTCTGAGCATCAAAATATCTAATATTCTCTCATCTGGAGAAGTTTCCTGATAACCATTGGTCTTGCCAGCCAAACTGTGAGGTTCAGTACCAAAAGTTACTGTACTTTCTTACCATGTTGGGAGTCACAGCAGGATTCCAAAGTGTTCAGTAAGATTTTCCCCAAGGTACGCTTAGAAATGTTCTTCAAAACATAAAACAATATTAGGGAGTTTTATCTGCACATGTCAATACTGAAATATATTAGCGATTGTCTTCCAAAAACTAAAATTCACCCCCAGTGCATCCATTGGATTTACTTTTGATGTCCTTTATGATCAACAAACAAGTGGGTAATTAAGAGAAATTGTATACATCAACAGTACAAATATATATCAAATCAGATCAGATAAGAGACAAAGAGAATAACAGAATATAAACAGATGATGAATGTGCAAAACATATTCCACAAGATAGCTAGATATTGTCGTAACACAAAATGCTTGTAGCTGCAAAACAAGACAGATAGACATTGTTTACCCAACAGAAGACAGTTTGGATTTTATTTTCATGTCCTCTGTGTATTCCATATTTCCCTTTTTCATGATGGATAGTATTAGTCAGACTATCAACCTGTGTACATGGTCAGCTTTGTAGTTCTACATAGTATCAAAAAGAATGGGTAGGCTCAATACAATGTACAGGTAACAACTTGGTCTTCATTTGCCAATCATGTGAGCAAAGCATAAAAATTGGTCATGGAGAGGTGAAAGGAAGAAAGGATGAGATGCAGACACACTGTACTAAATGACAATAAATTATATAGTACATATTTTGGGACCAGAGAGATGTGCATGATACAGAAATCCTTGAAAAATAGTTTTGATTTCTGGGTGTCTGATTTTCTAGCCCTTAGGCATTGGAGTAACTGTATTCATTCATGAAAGCTAAATTTATATTTTACTGTTATTTTTAATTACATATATTTCAATTTCATCTTTCTTCTAATAGTTGGTCACCTTCAAAATTAAGTAAAGGTTTTGTCTCTGTGAGATTGAGCTCAACTCATAGGCTCTATTTCACTCTTCCATGTTTGAAATATTGTATATTGTTATATAGATTCTTAAACTCTGCAGGAGATATTCTTAACATCCAGGACAAGGAGTGGTAAGTCATCATATTATTACCACTTAGACCCATGATGTATGATAACGTACAAGATCAGAGTAATATTTTCACTGTGGTGTTATGTATCAGTTGATGTATTGCTTAAAGAATGGTTTCCAACAAGGTGATGGACAATGAGAATGTAATGATATTTTTTTGCCAATCATAATCACTCATAGCACTTTATTAAGTTATCCATTATTAGATTTTGACTGACTCAAGGAGCAAGCATTGCCACTGGCGAGTATAGAAGGAAGTTAATGTAATAGGAGAATGCTACTATATATATTCATAAGAGTTATTAACAGAATTGGAGCATCAAATCAGCCTAATTTTAGCTATCAGATCAACTCTCATTAGATGTAACTACATTCATAATAAAAAGGGGCCTTAAATGCAATTTAGAAACAAAAGAGAAGAAGCAGATACAGTGCAGGTAAATTTAGTAAACTGTATTTTTTATTATTATGATATCTTGTTTCTAAGACAGCTGTTTTCTTTTCTCCACAGCAAACAAGAAAAACCCTTTAAATATCAAAGTCATCATATATACATGTATTTATCTATTATGCCATTCCTTTTCAGGGAAAGCAATGTTATGTAGAGTACAGAAAAGTAACAAAAGAGTAAGTCTTTATTAGAGTCACAGGATAAGAAAAAGGAACATTGCTAAAGCTATGTTCCAATATCTCAGAGGCTGCCACAAAGAAGATGGAGCAAAGCTATTCTCCAAAGCACCTGAGGGCAGGACAAGAAGCAATGGGTGGAAACTAATCAAGGAAGAAGCAACTTAGAACTAAGGAGAAATTTCCTGACAGAGCAATTAACCAGTGGAACAATTTACCATATTTGGTTTTTGGTTTTGCCTTTATTTGTATGCCGCCCTTTTCCCTGAGGGGACTCAGGGCGGCTCACAATTCAAAAAGGGAGGGGGAATGCTCCAACACTGGTGGTTTTT